AGGGCAGAAATTTGAGCTCGGTGTTCACGCCGATCTCACAAGATGCCGGCGAATTGACGGCGAAACATGCCGCCAGGTCAGGGGGAATACTACCGGCCCAGCATTCTCAAATGTCCACCGTCCGTGCCAGCACTTACCCCTTTAGCTGTATGCAAAATGATAAAATGTAATGCATGATTCTGAACATCAGTAATGTATCCGTGACCAAAATCCTCACCTACCTCCATGACTCAGCGTCGTAGTTCAAGATTTGCTGAAAAGTCAGTAGAAGCATTATCAAACGGTAGTGTAAGTTATTCTTTGACACAGGCTTCGTCCCAAAGTGTATGTGCGCAAGCTTTGCTCCGATTCGAAACATTTCTATCTGACAGGCATCACTTTATACATAAGGCTGGCATCGCGTTTTCTTTTCATTGATGAAAGTTCAAAATAAGAGAAAACCTGGATGTAATTTTTGCATTGCGCTAAAAATAGGATCGATGTTCTGTTTTGCAAGAATCACATTGTTCGTTCTACTTTACAAGGCTCGGCTCACATTCACTCATTTTTCAGACAACCGAACGAAAGTCTTATGATATTCACTTTTGGTTGGGTGAAGGCGCAACCATCGACGAAGTGGGCACAGCAGCTGCAGCGACTGTGAAAATAGATGACGCTTTGGGTGGTCACCCAATTCAGCACCGCGAAGTACAAAAGCATGAAACACCTTTGTTTCTCTCCTACTTTCCACATGGAATCAGGTACAGTGCAATACGAAGGTTAAAGGAATCTGATTAGAAGATATAGATATTTGCAAGGAGGCTATGATTCCGGATTCCGGCATGTTGAAGACATCTTTACCAACTTTAAACCACGCTTATTCCATTGCAAAGGGAAGCGGAATGTTCGCTGTGCACAGGTAACGATTGTTTTCTTTTCGTTTACATTGCATGTCTTGCACTACTAATGAGGAAAGCAGTTCAGTCAAAGTGCCCATTCAGGCTAAGTTGCATGTTGCTGAAGTCTGTGGTGGATGCTTTTCTCAAACTGCAATCCTTATCGGTCAAACGTTTTTAACAAGCATGACCATTTTGAAACCTTTACAAGTTGCGCGGGAGGTGCTAGTACGGCTAGGTGGTTCGTGTGGGTGTGATTGTTTGTCGCGTGGAGGGCTGCAGGAGTACTGCGTGCGCAAGTGTGGGGTTTCATTTTAGGTATGGGAGTTACTTACGATACCTTTCATCTGTGCGGAACTGCGGACTTCATCAATCTCAAGTTGAATACGAACTGCAGGGGCTTGGCCCTCACACGGGCAACTTTTTTGATGAACTGAAGAGGTATATGATCAGGCGTCAGGGATCTCGATGCTGACCACTCCGCAAGAGCCCAAATATGTCGTACTCTCTTGAATCCCTTTCGAGCACATTTTCGAAGGTATTGGCAAAACACTCTGATTTTCCAAAAATCTGCAATAATGACAGCTCCATCATCCACCAAAATGCGCCCAACTTCCTTCTTTCTTTGATCCTTGTTAAGGAGGTGATAAAAGATTGATGTGTTTCCACTATCGATAACTTTTTATGTAGCATTTCATATTCTCAACTGCTTCAGGGCCTATGATTTGATCTCTTGAATAAAGCAAAAGTAGTACCTCTTCCATCTGATTTTGCTTTATACCAGGCCTTAGCTGTTATGCGTTGAGAGTCTCTAGATGTCTCGGAAGACTCGGCCTATCAAGTGGCACAGTTTGCAAGAACACGAAAAGTTCAATTGTCAACGGCACGAATAGTTCATTTGTAGGTTGAAGCATCACAATCAACACTCATTTATATCGTTGACTGATCCTGCCTCATTGACTGAGTGTAATCAGTTTCTTGTTCGTAGAAAGTGAATAGTCTTGGCCATGTCAGCGTTTTTGAAGTCCCTTCGCCAAGCAAATTCAGTCTCCGCGCAGCGCCTGCCCCTCAAGAGGAAAATTACTAAGACATGTTTGCTAAAGCCCACAGGCGGATTACCCGGACATCCTTCACCAATGTTTCATCACTAGTCAAAATCAGGTCAAGAATGTTTTTCCTATTCCTTTTTCCTTTTTCCTATTTGCTGCAACTTTTTGAAGGAGGTGATGATTACGGCACATAGTCGTAAACAATCTAGCTGCAGGACACATCCTGCATAAGTGCAAGGATTTCCAATTCACCCCAGGAAAGTTCAAGTCTCTCATTATTACCGCGATAATAACAAGTCATAAGGTCAGTAATGGCTTTGATCAATTGCTGCTGTTATAAGCTGTACTCGGTATCTTCTAGGCAAGTACCAACGTATTTGTTGTTGACTAGTAAGGACGTCAGAGCAAATCAATTCACAAACATCAGCAGCAAATTC